AAAGACACCAAGTGTCTGGGCCGGCCCGTGGCTCACTCGGGAGAGTGCGGTGCTGATAACACCAAGGCCTCGGGTTCGGATCCCATATAGGGATGGCCGGTTCGCTCACTGGGTGAGCGTGGTGCTGACAACACCAAGTCAAGGGTTAAGATCCCCTTACCGGTCATCTTTTTTAAAAAAAAAAAAAAAAGACACCAAGTGTCTGGGCCGGCCCGTGGCTCACTCGGGAGAGTGCGGTGCTGATAACACCAAGGCCTCGGGTTCGGATCCCATATAGGGATGGCCGGTTCGCTCACTGGGTGAGCGTGGTGCTGACAACACCAAGTCAAGGGTTAAGATCCCCTTACCGGTCATCTTTTTTAAAAAAAAAAAGACACCAAGTGTCTTAGTCCATTTTGTGCTGCTACAACAGAATACCTGAGACTGGATTACTTATATAGAACAGAAATTTACTTCTGAACTCTGGAGTCTGGGAAGTCAAAATCAAGGTGCTAGCATCTGGTTTGGCCTTTTTGCTGCATACCATATGGTGAGAGGCAGAAGGGCAAGAGAGGACGAATGCCATGTTCTCATATGGCAGAAGACAGATAACCTGCTCCCGTAAGCCCTTTCTATAGCAGCATTAATTTGCATGTGAAAGTGGAGCCCTCGTGACCCAAACGCCTCCCATTAGGCCGCATCTCCCAGTGCTGCTGCATTAAAAACTAAATTTACAACACGTGAGTTTTGGGGGACACATTCATACCACAACACCAAGTTTGTGGCATGTGTTATAGCAGCCTCAGGAAATTAACTGGTTTGTAATACATGTGACAGTCTACCATCTAGCCATCTAGCAAAATGCCAGGCTGAGAATAATGGTAAAAGTAGCTAACACTTATTGAGTGCTTTCTATGTTCTGAGTACTCTGCTTTATGGTCTTTCCCACTGAACCTTCACCATAACTCCCTGTATGAGGGTACTTCAAAAAATTCGTGAGAAAATGAAAAGATAATAATCCTTCCATCAGCTTATTGAAGACCATGTGTATAATATATGTACTATTACCAGCCCCATTTTGCAGTTGGAGAAACTGAAGCAGTAAACAATTTAAAGATACTTGCCCAAAGCCACAGGGCTATCAAGTGTCAGAGACAGGAGTAGAATCCAGGCAGTATGACACTAGAGTTCACTTTAGAGCACTCTATTCTACTGAGAGAGAAACAGCACTTGCCCTCATACGGAGTTCATGCACTGGGAAAGGCAGTAAGGAAACAGCCACTTGGACACTCCCTATGCTAGAGGGGAAACAAAGATTTGGGAGTGGGGGGTAGCCTGGGGAAGACCTTTTAAGCAGGTTCCAGGAGAGCAGATCTTGAAGGATGACTAAGCAGCGAGATAAAGGAGAGAAGAATATTCTAAGTTGAGCGCATACTATGAGCAAAGACTCAGATTTTAGAGGAAAAAATGTAGTTTGGGAACCTGATGACCTTTGACATGTGCTACTGTGGGGTGGACAGGCAAGGCCTAGGGAGAGTTAAAGGTCTGGTTCTCTACCACTTCCTCCTGCCTAGAGCCTACCCCCAGGGCCCACAGAGGGAAGTTGCAGGCACCATGGAGAAATGCTGCCTAGGAGGCTGATCTCCTATGTGCCTCACTGATAGCAGTCTGTGTGGCTTCTGGAACTCAATGTCAGGA